TTTTTTCATTTGCTGTTATTTTTCTATCTTCAATTAAACGAGAACTACAGCCCGTTCCAATTATGCGATTCGCACAGGGTGTACTTCTTGTTCAATATAAATTAATTTAATATAATATATTAATATGTAGTATATTATATTATAAATTAATTTATATATACATATAATACGTATATATATTTTCTATATAATTAAGTATCATAAAAAATAGGAAATATATATACTTTTCTATTATATATATATAAATATATTTATTTAGTTGTTATATTTATTAGTCGACATAATAGAATAATAATAGAATATATATATATTTATTTATTTATTCATTGATATATATATATAATACGTATGTATATTTTTTATATAATACGTAGGCGCAAATGTCCCTTGCACTTACAGCAACGGCGTTACGCGCTGGTACTCCACTCACTGTGTTGTGCGACCATTATTTTAAAACGCGCAACGTTCGCGATCTCATACCTGTCTATATATAGTAATATATTTATATACACACAGCGTCATTGTTTCCATATACAATACATACATATATACGTGTATATATATATATGCATATGTATATGTATACATATATATATCAATATAACATTGTCAACCAATAACTTATACTTCGCTTGAAGCTACATGTGTGATGGCGGGCGCCATCACTTAAATAACATGCATGCACGCGCGCATCGTTCCTTATAATTAATCACGCTTTCGCCTACACACACACACACACATACAAACGCAACGCGAAACATTCAAAACATCTAAAGGATGTCTGAAATGTTAAGATGTCTTGCGAGATTTAACTTCTTAGACATTCAGGCAAGGATCCAATGGAGGCGCGTCCAAGAGATGCCTGAAAAATTTAAAAGCTTTTCTCTTCTTTCGGAACTTAAACTTTCAGACGTTCTTTAGGTACACCTGTTAAGACTTTTACGTTGCCTGAGTGTCCAAAAAATAATAAATTGTTTACAGACGTCCCTCAGATGTCTCTCGAACTGTCACGCGTTCTCCGAGCACTCCCACGCATACGCAAGCGTCATGTATACCGTATTATAACATGAAACGTAGTCTCACTCGGTTTAAACGGCTCTCGAAGACTAAAGACTTCCAAAGTGGATCACAGTCTGTCTCTGCACACGTCGAGGTCCCGCCAAACGTTCAAGTGGAGAAACGATAACTAACAAAACAACCATCTCCGTCGCGTTCTCCGTCGCGACAAAACAGTGCTTCTCTACGACGTTCCTGAGAATATTCGGGAATATCTGCGTTCTTATATAAAACCCAACGAGTTCCTCAAATTCTTTAATTATACACGAGTTTATATATTTCACAATTAATTCTATTGAAATCATAACTCAAGTATAAGTATATCAATAAATTAAACCAACTTGTCCAACGCGAAATATTAAAATAGAGATCGTCGTTCGTTCTTATCTTTCTCGGTTGATTCTTATTCTTAAAACGTATAAGTAATATTAAAACTTATACATATATAAGTACGTAATTTCTTGCAAATATTGCATGTGAAATCAATAAGATTGCCATTTTATATTAATGAGGATTGCATTCTGACAAGAAACCACTGAACGCAGAAGATACTTGCGCAGAACTTATTACGATGGAACGTTTCTCATATATTTACATACGAGCGAATTTCGTCTCTCGGATGAAAAAAAACTAACTAAAGTCGACTGGACGCAATTTCGTATTTTTTTGACAAATGCGGGCGCATCAATCGCGCGGATATACAATGGATACGTTTTCTCGCTCATACTGTTTTTACTTCTAATTTAGTAATTAACTTTACACGAAGAAAAGTGACGATATCGATAGGATTGTCTGGAGAACGAAGATCAGTCGATTCGTTTACATTTGTCGCACAACCAATTCGTCATTCGAGATCTATACGTTAGGGTTGTACGAAAAAGAATGTGATTCCGCAAATTAAACACATATAAAGTTAGTTAAAATAGTTGTTACATCGAAACAACTGATTCTAAAGTCAGTATCGTTCCTCGGTTCGTAATATTAAAAAGATCAATATCTCGTAATCAACGGGTATTAAAAAAAAAAGTTTTAGAGAAATTAATATTCGGTACCGTATATTAAAAGAATAAATCTTGATCATTGGATTCGTGGCTGTTGTGGATTGTTTAACGTCATATAGTATAACCGTTTGTTGTATAATTTATGCAAAAGACACATCATTAAATACGTTATTATAAATATTAATAAATCGGTTTAAAAAACGATCTTCAGGCGGTTATATCTTACGATTTCGAGTTTCGAGAAATACAGCAGTGGTCAAAAAGTTTTAGGATATATCGTTCAATTTCTCAAAATGCAAATATTTCAACAAAGCACCTCTTCTCGTACATGAATTGTTATTTTCATTAAATAATCTATAATAGATTCTTTTATTGTGAATCTACAATGTCAATAATTATGAAGTATTGGCTGCCACGTCTGCATTGGCTGTATCGTCGTGTTTCAAATCTGACTGTGTTTACAGGAATTAATATAAATATTAACAGGTAAATGCTCAGTCAAACGTTAACTCACGCTCGGAAGATTGCATTTGTTCTTTTTTTTGTCGCTTCATAGATAATTGCGGCTTCTTAATCACTCTTCAGTTGATATTAACTGATATGCCGGAGGGATAAAACACTGTCGATCGGAATTAACGATGTATACGGAATAATTGCTTGAACGTTAAATATCGCCGTATATAGCTCTCGCGTTTATATTTCGTGCTGCAAAAATCCATTATATCAAAAAACGGTGACGGCGGTCGCTCGTAAAAAAGGCAACAATGATAACGGTCACAATAGAAATGGAAAGGTCTTCAGAAACCTTTCCCTGCGGTCAATAACTCTTCTAAATGGCAGTTATTTATCACTCATCTCCCTAAGTCGGCTAGAATTTGCGGAGACTAAATCTAGTCTTTGACGTTTTCTCTCGAGATCTATAAGCTAATCCAATAAATAGTGGAAGAAATAAGTATCCCTAAGCTCTAGTGCCATTCTTTGCTCGACGATTCGTCATCGTCCCGATAGGCCCGACCGAAAAAAAGCATAATTAATTTAAAACTTCGTCCCCTTATTCGTATTCCTATCTAACGTCGCGTTTACTGCTGAATGCGGCTTCTCCGAATGAGACAAGAGTCTGAACGACGTTAAAAGACGACGAAGATTGGATTGTCTTCTGGATATCTCTATGACGTCTTTTAGAAATTACATTGTCTGGATCTAACACGCGAGGATTATTATTGAGGATCAAATAGCCGTATTTAGCATTAAACGCGTGACGCGTTTAATATATATAAATTGTCCTTATCGCCACAACCTGATACTAAACGTCGTTCTACGTGTTTTAATCTCGGAGTAAATTGCTAAGATAGTTACATAGAGGGAACGCTTCATCGCACGTGGACATGATGAAG